TTTCACAATTTTTTTTACATCTTTTTGAGGTTTTCTTCCTCTTAAACTCCCTGACGTGAAATAAAAATTATGTATATAATCGTGTGCGTATGACTGAATACGTCTATGGTAGCTATATACTTCATCATAAACATTCATTCGGCTATTGTAGTTGTCTCCATTAAAGGTCACTCTCCCAACGCAGAAGCAGTTACGTCTTGCTGGACGTAAACTAATTGTCGAAAATGAGCGATTTTATTAATGGGGAGACGGGGGATAGGCGAACAACCCCCACTTTCCGATACGCAGCTATAACAGACGATGTTATTTTGAGAGGAGTGAACGGAGGGGAGGGGATGTGCAAACAAATTTAAATAAATTGGATATGGCCCATCACGAGTCCAACCAACAGCTTTCCAATCAGTCTCCTATTTTGCATTCATTTATTCAACAAAAAAATGGAAATTGCTTTTGTCTTCATATAGCACAGCTATTTTGACTAATCAATTAGCAATATGCTTACGAATGATCATTTTGAATTGCATTCTCTTCTATCGTATATCATTCATCGTTTTATATTATTTTGTTCAATTGAATCATATTTTTTCTTTAATCAATTGTGTTAGATTTAGGGAGCATTCAACAATTACGTCACGCCATTAAGGGGGGAGGGGAGCCATGAGTGTTGTGACGATGTGTGACGGTGGGGGCGAGGTGGCCGCGCAGGCCGTGACGTCACGCTCATATGTTTAGTTTGTCATTTGATTGGAGAAAATTTTTTAAAAATCAATAATACTTTTCTTTTCTAACGAAGGGGGGATGAAGAATATGATGATTATCACTAGCTAGCGCGCATAACGCAGTCGTCAGTTGTAAGTATATGTATTTATTAACATTACATCAAGGAATTTATTTATGGCGCTTGTATTCGATTTTTTCCTGATTGTTCTTCCATTTAGGCCCAAAATGTTCAAAAAAAGCGTAACGTAATTGTTGAATATACTCTTTTTTTGTGACATTACTTGTATTAATCAAATGAAAGAATCATGCTATCTATATTACCTTGAAACTTTAATAAAGTGGTACTAGAAAAACATTTTTCATGCATAATTGAATGAATTCCAGGCATCGTCTTTGAACAAACTGTCGGAAAATTCACATTCAGGAAAATCTAAAAATATTCGAAATTTGCAAAAAATCATCATAAAAAGTAAATCAACGGATATAGCTGTAGTAATGATCTTCTATCCCCGACAGGGTGACATCCAAACAAATATTTGAAGCTATGATTGAATTAATTAGAAGCACGATATTCGAAGATATTGTTGCGTATGACGAAATTGTTGAAAATTGTTCTATAATTCAAAACAACGGTTATTACTGTCGCCTTCATCTTCGAATTTGGTTAAAGGGACATCGGAACATTGTTTAAGTCATCGTTCAAAAAATTCAGAACTTTGTTTTTGAGTTATCGTGGAAAACCCGATTTTTGCAAAAAATCGAACATTCTAAAAATTGATATACGAATTAATTTTTAATAAATGTCGATGGATAGGGCTCAACTATCCGCATAATTGGCAGGGAAAAATTATTAAATTCCATCAATTCATTCACGAATAATTGAAGAAACACTTTGGTACATACAAACGCACAGACACGATCTGACATGATTACGATTCCTTTGGTGCCACGATTTAACATGTTTTCTGTACCATTTTTCCCCAGGATTATGGGAAAAATAATGAAAAAATACAATCTCCATTATTTTTCCTGAATTATGGAGATTTTTCACAGAAGACAGGACTTTATATAGCGTTCCACATCTTGTGACGTCACAGGATATTATCGGATAGGATTTTGGAATAGGTAGGAGGGGAATCAGGATAATTCTCAATATTTGTTTACAAGAAAAATTTACTTTTTTTTTTTTTTATATATTCCGGCCCTTTCTGCCCTCTGATTGGCTAATCGGCCCTATCCAACCCTACGCATGCGGCTGTGGATTCTATACTGCACCGCATTCGCACTCCTATAGAACACAGAAGTAGCATGGGAAACCACAGAAAACCCATGCCGGTACAGGCGGTCACTATATTAGCGACATCCCGCTCGCCGGAGCCTCCGGTTGAAAAACTCGGTTCCACGGGGAATCGAACTCACAACTTTTCGCACACTAGGCTCGCACCTAGCCGCTTCGGCCAGCGACGTCGGTAGAAAAATTTACTGAAAAAGTTGGATAATTCAGACCGGGATTTCAACCCAGGACCTTCCGATTATCCATCGGGTACTCTTTCAACTTAAAGTAAACGTCACAAGGGTCACAAAAAAGGAGTTGCTAGGGTTACGGAAGCCACAACGATCACACAAAAAAAGGAGTCTCGAGGGTCACAAGGGTGACACTGCCTTTGTTGAATACGTTTTTCACTGAAAATTATTTTGGTGGAAATTTTGTTGACTGAATTTTGTTTCTGAAAAAATTTCAACAACAATCGCGAAAATTCAATCAAAAAAATTTCTAAGAAAAAAATTTTCGGTTATAATACACTGAGAGCTTCAAAATGATCGGGTATTTCCCGATAACTTCGTTGCATACAAACAAATATGTCAAGTTTCGTAGGTTTCCTGCGAAACTTGACGCATTCGTTTGTATGCAGAGAAGTTTGAGGGGAATACTCCGATTCATTTTGAAGCTCGAGGGGTATTCGGCGGATTATTCCCCCCCCCGCCCCTAAAAAAAACGATAAATAGAATTGTGATATTTGGCGTTATCGTGGTAAATTCCACAATTTTTTGTTATTCTGCTTGGCAACGGGTAAATTACCGAACGACGGAGTATTATCGATATAATTCTGTTCTGATTGGACCACGGGACGTCGAATTCCGCAATTCTATTGTTCGGAAGGGTGATGGGGGAAATAATCATTAAGATTGAGTTTTGTTGTTTAGAGATTGTGAATATAATCATTGAATTCAAATGTGGGAATGTTAGCGCATGAATTGGTATCTCAAGTATAAGAACCTTTATGGACATGTTCGTATCCTGAAAAATTGGGATTGAAATGCTTATATCCCAAAAACATATTAAGAGAATTTTTTCCTTATTTTTCCTGTATTCCTGAGGTAAATGGTACGGAAAACATATGTCGAATAGCGGCGCAAAGAAATCGTAATCTTCCCCGCGGTCTAAATTTTCCGACTTTTTGAATCCTAATGGTTTGATATATTACACAAAATCCAAAACTTAAATTTTGACGATTACAAAGCTTCCATTTGGAAATAAAATTCAATAGTTTCATCCGAATACTCAAGAACCTCTAACACAATTTTGCTCAACATTAAATCGCACTCAAATTAAAAGAACAACCATCGATTGCAGAGAAAAAAAAACAAATTTGATTGAAAAAAACGAATTTGTTTTAAATAAAACCATGAAATGTTTTTTTCATGGTTTACAAAAATGATTATGAAACCACAAAGGCGAACTGCTTCACTATCTAATCAGGCCTAATTTACATGAAAACATATCGATAGGAGAGAAATAAAGTTGAATTGCATCGTTTGTTCTGACGAAAACGTGGAACAAAGCTGTGGTCACACGCACCTACACCCATCTCTCCTGAATAACCATGCAGAATATTCCTACGGATCATGAAACGTAAAGATATCTTGACATTCCAACGTTCGTAAAAAATCTGAGATGATTGCGTGGGTTACGTGTGGCAGAGGACACTGGCAATAGTTAAACTGAGGGGAACCTAGTTGCCTCTGTTTTGACAAAGTGGCCTCCCTCAAATGAGGCCATTAAGAACCTACATATATTCATACGGAAGGCTATACCTACCATAGACGTATTTATTACTATATACATACGTATATTTTATATATATTTTGAACAAATGGTAGATGACTTATTATCCAATTACTAATATTTTCAACTTTCGTGCATTCTTTTTAGAATCTTTCAAATTCCTTCCGAAAATGAAATCTAGTGAAGTGATAAAGCGCAATGAATAAAACTTGACATTTTTGTTAAGTGTGCATTCATCTTGAAAGCCAGTAATTTTAGAAGACAATGCCAAAACAACTTTTTGCGAATGGAAAGATTTCCAACAAACAACGTTTTTTGACATTCCCTTCTAAAATTATGCATTACCACAATAATTCCATCGTCAACAAGATGTGAAAACTCATCTTGTTGGAAAGGAGTGAGACAAAATGGATAGGGTTAATCTTCGATAACACAATATTGCCAGAGATAATTGGAATTTCCCAATTTTTGGATGTTTCTTCAAGTTCCGAAAAAGAAAGCGAGGTGCATTTGGTCCGCCAATGCTGACATTTTAACGCAGTTGTTGAAAAATGTATTTTTTAACGAATTTTATTGCAGGACTCGCCTTCGGACGAAAGTATTTCTTTAAACTTCAAATAGGTCCATGTTGCAAACTCAGTAATATTTAAATCATCTTCAGAAACGTGATAAAACGAGATAAATCTGCACAACTCCAGATTGAATATTTAAATATATGCTTGAATCTAAGGAAAATGAATAGATTCAAATGAGGGCCTTTCTCATAGTGCAACATGAAAAACATAAAAGAGATATCTGTGAAAATACATACCATACTGAAATTCTCATAACACAATAGTATTACTACAAAGAAGAGTGAATCATCTGAACCATCCATTTGAAATCTCTAGTATTTTTCGTTGAATGGTCATCACACCTTCAAAGATGGAAATCGTCATTTTCCATTTTGTCCCACTCATTCGATTGCAGCATACGAATTGACTGCTTGAATGACCTAATCATTGATTTCTGATATCGACTCATTCAATCTCATTTCTAAAATTCATAATTCCACCTCACCTCGTATTTATATTGTTTTTCAATTCAATAATCAATTGAATAAAGAATTAATTAATGATAATTAACAACGACAACACCCGCGCCAAGTCTTAGATTTTCTTTCAATCAATGTAATCATGTATATGCATAATAATCATAATAATAATAATATATATCTAATTTATCTCTTTCTACTTTATTTGATAATCCGTGTGCGTAATAAGTGTTTCATCATTTTTTTTCATTCATTATTGATTAAATTATTTGCCCGCGCGGGTGTAGACATTCGTGAAAATTCAGTAATTGATCTTTCTTTATCTATTTCACGAATCATGTGTGAATACTAAATTACAGTTACATTCTTTCTATAGTTCAGCTGGGTTTGAAGGAAACGGGGGGAAAAGGGTGTAGGGAATACAGTAGAGGAAAATGGGCACAAGTGGCAAATAAATATACCCCTCATAGTTGATACCACTTTTTGTCCTTGTACTTGAGCATTAATCCATGGGCAGAAGTTGCAAAATTTTCTGACTCATTCATCATGCGTTCGGTTCTCTCCTCCAATTGCGATAATTTATCACCTCGCTCCATTACCATTCGGTGGGCAGCTGCAACGTCACCAGTTGCAGTCGATACACGCTCTCTGAGGGCTTCTGTATTTGCAGTTGGACCTGGTATATGTTTTGCTACTGTTCTCGATGCTCTTCCACTCGATTCGCCGACTGGAAGAGAAATTTGCAATTATGGAGATTAAAATTCGATCGTAATGTTTCAAACTTGGTATTCTCATAAAAGTTGAGAGGGCGTGCGGTAGAGCTTCACTTTTCGTACTCGAAATTTATTTTTTGTCACTATTGCTACGTCCACCTCGTACCGAACACTGTCTGTTCGTTTACTTGTAAACGAAGAAAGACACGATTTGCTACTCGTTGAACGTAACATCCCTAACAATATATTATGTCATCAGACGATAAATGTATTATCTAACGAATGTGACTTTATAATCCGAACCGAAGGCAAGGATTATAATCGCATGACTCAGGTAATACTTTTATCGCCATATGACATAAAACATTTGCCATTTTTGGTTCACCATCATTTGAGCTTTTTGATTAACTATCATTTAATCTTTCTGATCGCTTGACTCGTACGATCAATCCAAGCGAATTTCTATCATCTATAATCAACAGCTAACTTTAAGAGAAAAATTTAACAGGGAAAATTTTCGATGATCAAATTCACCTCCGAGAATTGAAAGAGATAGGGGAGATGGGTGATTTCATTAAAAATTCGGGGAGGACTTTCAGTAACAACAATTTCATCCCTTTTCTAACCTTGTTCTCATGGAAATTCATGAGAAGAAATGAGGTAAGAGAGAGATTAGTTGAGTCGATTGTAAAGTCATAGCTATTCCATGAACAGCTTTACATTTGAGGAGGATGATTTTTTTTCGTAGGTCTTTTTGTTGAGTAAAGTAGAAGGTACGAACGAGGCAAGCATAAAATTTTTATCATCGGTAGTTATCTCGGATATATCTACTGAAAACTAACATCAGTAAAAATCGAGATGATTTGAGAAGATAATTTCAAAAAAACTAAACTGATATATGCAGAATGTGTTGGAAATATATCTTGACCGTGTGAGCATAATACTACAATTAAGTGACCACACAATAATAACTCTTGTAATATCCAAAAATTTTATAATATTGGTGCTTCGTAGGATTCATATCAGCTGCGTCCCCGTCGCGAATTCTGGGTCATGATAAGTGCTAATCTGTCTCTATATTAATGCCTCACTGTTCGTTTTTGATAGTATATCGTTAGCTATATAGAAAAGTAACGTAAGTGCCAAAATACGAGAATTCAATAGAAAAAGGGAAACAAAAAACTAATATGGGAACTGGAATTAAAAATTCAAAACTTCTGGTATGAGGACATTTTTTGGCACTTACACGGAGAGAAATATTCAGTAAAAATTACGTATCTTTTCCGTAATTTCGGAGCGAAATGTGGTTGTAGGAAATTTTACGGAACTGTCACGGAATTTTTCCGGAGCGTTCCGTAATTTTCATCTGAATCTACTGTGAAAAATTAAGATACCGACACTTAAATTTTCTGAGTTAATTCCATAATCGGTGAGTGAATGGTGAGTTCCGTAATTTTTACTGAATATTTCTCTCCATGTACGTTAGTCTTCTATACAGCTAACGATATTGTGTCACTAGTGCGTAAAGTTCCAGCTTTTCGTAGGCACGTGTAACACATTCTATTTTCTGTGGTATCTGCCGAGTTTATTGTTCGGAACGGTAGTGGGATGATGTGGTTGTCTTTACGCATGTCGTGCGGAAAACAACCGCTTTACGTATACTAAACCGTTTCGAAAAGTGCACTTTTGAGGCAGGTATCACAAAATAGTATATTTCGTTACGAGTGCGGAAAAGAGTTTTTTGGCTCTTGGGAGGTTTATAGCACGAGCCGAAGGCTCGTACTATAAAAAACACACTTTTCCCACGAGTATCGAACGATATTTTTCCGAAACAAACACTTTTCCCACGAGTATCGAACGATATTTTTCATCACAATATATGGAAAAGAGACGTTTTAAGCACACGAAGCGTGCCTAAAAAGTTACTTTTTTACACAACGTGATGAAAATTTAATTTTGGAGACCTTAAGGATATCTTAGTACTTCGTTCAAATTAGCAACTTTTTTTCAAACAAGATTTCAGTTTTGCCGAAAATCTTGCCATCCCCATAATTTTTCAGATTTTTCATTGTTGAATACATTTTTTCGGGAATTTCTTCAATGAATATTGTGAACAATATTTTATTCAATTTCACACATAACTCTCGATGGTCTAACTTCTAATGATCATACGGCAACACTGCACATGGGTTCCATATAACCTCGTAAATGCGCTCCGCTGTTGCCAGACATCAGGAACGCACGTATTCAAACCACCTAATATGGATGATTTACAGATCAAGAAGCTTTTAATTTGATTATTTGCAATTGTTTAAGCGGACACTTATATTTTTCAATGTCGCAAAACAACTAGAGAGTGTAACGAATAAAGTCATATATGTGTACGGGATATATGTGTAAGAGGGTCACGGGGTGGTGTAGGGGAAAACGCTTTAAGACTAGGCGCTATTAGATTTAATGTGGAAGTATACAGCTCTCATGGATCTAATGCGCTAAATTTCATTTGTTCAAAAATCCTTTTCTCGAAAAAATGTTCGAAAACATTAAGGTTCATATTGCGCATAAAAAATGCTCCTGCACACGTATGAAAAAATCGAATAGAAATTTTCTATATGGATTGCGTATAGAAATTCTATAGGATTTCCGTATATGATATTCGGATATTTCTATACGAATTATTTCTATATATAAATTTTTACATAAATTTTTGTTTTCATACGAAAGATATCTAAACGCTCCAGAGGAAAACATAGAGAAATGTCGCAACTCCATACGAAATGTTTCTATACATGTGGCAGTGGGTCGTATAGGATCAAACCTATAGAAATCTTATAGAAATAATTTGTATAAAAAATATAGAATATTTTATATTTATATAAAATCAAATAATTTTTTATTCGATTCAAACAGTTATGGTTGCCTTTGTCAACAACGTATGGGGACAGAATAACTCAATAATTTGTGAGAATACAATAAATTAAGTCATTTAGAATTTCTTCCGAAAATCCATGGGGACTAACTTTTGAGTGGTATTGTCTTGGGATATAGCTGAAAGGGCTAGCCGGTGTATGAAGGTGCCTATTCAAATCGAGGTCATGGTCCTCCATATCTCCATACCTCTTTAGTAATATAATATACAATAGTGGAAAATATTCAGTTTTTAATGAAAAAAGATCGTCCGATTAAGCCATTGATTTTCACATTTTTCATAAAACGACTACTTTCAAAGCGATTCAAAACATAATCTCTCTGAAATCATTCAACTTATCGGTTATTCTGCGCCCTTCACCTGCAAGATTAACAATTAGCAGAATCTCTTATGTTAATGCCTTTTTAAATCCCTAGAACTCATCCTTATGTTAATTCTTCCAGTCCTTACTTTGAAGAAGCAAAATAAGTTATAAAGGGGAGTCACTACTGAAAGAAGAATAACTCCTCCTAATTGAAGAGAATAATCGACTTACAAAGTTCTTCCCTGTCGAGACTTCTAGATCCACCTCCAAACAGCCCCTTGAAAAAACTTTCCTTGGGTGCTTCAGGCATATCAAGAGTCATAAAAAGATCGCCCATCATATCTGGTAGCTCGGTGCTGCAATCCGAAAACAAAATTATTATGTAATTGTCCGTGAATCGCGTAATTCAGTAGTGAAGTGGTGAAACGAGACCAGTCACACACAATACACGTATCAAAATCGAAGAACAATAAAAATGTTTGAATTGTTTTCTAAAAATTCGGCTATTCTTTCAGTACATTCAAAGATTTTCGTCGAAACCTCAAATACAATCGAAAAAATCGAGCTTTGGATGGATTTTGCTATGAGTATCTTTAGACTTAAGGATATCCAAGTATCTTTTACAGTTTGGTACAAACCACACTGGATATTCAAGCATTTTCAATAATCGGATTTGTCAATTAAATTGCGTGAGAAAATTTTTGAAAAATCATGAATATTCAGCATCATACAAATTACATTTTACACAGAATTATTATTTTTTTGAACATTCGTTGTTCCTAATAAATAATTGAAATTGTTCAAACTTTCGGAAACCTTACTTTTTTAAGGAAGAGCTCGATTTCTGGTAAAATTCTGAATATGAATAAATGGGTTACGATCGCGGACAAATGAGTTTTATAGTGGTAAATTGATTGTTTATAAACTATTTATAGAAAATGCTCGCAATTTTAAAAAATTGCAATTTTCAAATTATTTCATCAGTCTCCCTCCAAAAGTAAACTTTCTAATGTTTTTTTCAGATTTTTAAAATATTTTCTAACGATTCTTTATCGAGATTCAAATTCAGACCTCCAAAGTTTAAATAATAAAATTATTGTAAAATGTCCGAAAACTTTAGGTCAAATGGGGCTCAAATGAAGGCTCTAATGTTCGACTACAAAAGCAGAAAAACATTTCACTTGGGAAAAAATAGCTTGGATAAAGTACTTGGATATCTTTTTATTTTACCTTCCTAGGTTAGAAATATACTATTAGATATCGTTCGATAGATAATAGAGCCGAGCCGTAAGTCGAAATTTCCAACTTTTTTCGGAGAGTTGTAAAAATTATTGTGATCATCTGAGGAATCGATGTCGATGGAAACCTCATTTTCAAAAAAAGTTCGACGTGAACTATTTTACTGCATCACCACTGAAATCAGTGAATCATTTCTTGTAAACAACGAAAAATTCCTCTATTTTGTTGACATTTAATGAATATTTCATTCGATTTTGATCTTTCATAAACACCAAGATATTTGCAAATTAGTGATGTTTATTTCATAAAAATACACCTCGCATTTCGATAAAGACAAAAACTCAATTACTAAATAGTACAAATTATTTCAATACTTCAAACATCCGCCCTAATATATCAATTTCTAAACCGATTAGATTACGTTAACACATGTCCTTCGACCACTTTGCTACCAAATTCACCTCAATAAATCAAAAGCTTTAAGACTATCTTCACATTAAAATTTTCACGTACCAGAAATCATTGGAAACGGTGAACTTCTGAATCTCAGTCGGTGATGATAGATAAAGACCGTGACCTTTATAACTCAAACAAATAGTCCGGGCAATCCTGCAATTGAAAACGTTCTCTCCATTGTAATACATTATACTTAAGTAGTGAAAAAAAATTGAAAAGAAAATGGAAGAGAGAAAGAGTTTGGGATAGACTTGGCACCCAATCAAATGTATCATTCGTGCAAATAACTCGACTACTCAATAATGAAAAAAACCCATCGACATATCGTTCAACGAATTAATGACAAATTCAGCTAGATTGAAAATTATGAGCCATGCAATTGTCAATGAATTGGTGATGATAAAAGCAGATAAAACTCTACAAAAAAGTCAATCAAATCTACTTCTACAATGTTCACTGTCATTTGTGTCATCTAAGTGGAGAGAAACCAACTCACCTTCTACTATGTTATATGACCAAATTTTACTGTTTATTAATAATTATAAGCGATTTAATTACATGATTACTGTGTTGCTCAATATAATATAATATGATCAAAGTGGCGTGTTAATAACGAATTAATCGTGTTATAATGGCAAATATTACAGCAGGTGTTACGTCTTTCCCATTCCGTACAAAAAGAGGAGTTTTTTTTACAAAAGGGGTAATTATTAATTACTTTACCGATACAGTTTGAAAATAATGACAAATAAATAATGACAAAACTACTTGAATAATTTGTTACTTTAAAAATACCAAAGTACCAACAAAATTCGACCTTACGGATATGGGAAAATACAATTATGTGAATTATTATTACTCTCTTTTTTGTTCTTTTTGTTTCTTTTAATTCTTTTCTTTAATATTGATGACTTACTGATCGGTATCGCCATTAACAAAGAGTTGATGACCCCATATGGACAACATGGGATCTACAATCCCGTGTTTAGTTGTCTGAAAACTGTTAGAAATTACAGGAAAAATAACAGATGACAGCTTTTGTTAGTTATTGCGATAAATAGCCGGATGTCAATTATTTCAATTGTAGCAGTAATGGTGGATGGATTAATTTTTATTCATCACACTGTGTGTACAGGGAAATTTATGCACGATTTGCGTGCGCAAAACTCCAATATCCACATGTTGTGATGAAAAACAGATTTTGACACTCGTGGAAAAAGCAGTTTTAAGGGGTCTCCGCAGTACTTTTGGGTAAAATATGACAATATGCTTGCGAATTAAATATATCATATAGTAATCAAAAATGTTAAAAAGGTATTTGTAAAAGCAATTCTAACTACTTTTATGGTTTCGTTCGTGTTCAATTAATTATTTAAATTGTGCCTTACACACAATCTTTATGGACGCTACTTTGTCCCATACCCCTCACACTTTTTTTTTTTTTTTTATGCTTATTTTATATCGCTTCGAGTCTGATGAGACTATATGGCGATTGATCAAGACTTTAAAAATGGTTAGATCTCACCATTCTACCCGGCCAGGAATCGAACCTGGACCCTATCCACCCCTCACACTGTTGACAATGTGCTAGCCAGCAAAGGAAGCTAAATTGTTCTATTTTTAGCCCTAAACAATATGGGCACGAAATCCCATTGGGTTTTATCGTTGATTTGTTCAATCAATTAATGATAAAAATACTATGGTGATGTCTGTCATTATCCAACATACGCCATGTTTGATGCCCCGTCTCTCTCGAAACTAAGCCCGCGCGCCCATCGCAACTGCGGAGGCCCCTTAAGCCCGCGGGAAGTTCACAGAATGCTACAAACCTCCTACAAGCCACAACCCACTTCTTCGCACGTGTATCAAAATGTACTATTTTGAATAATTTGTAATGTTGATCAGATTCATGTTAACCCTTAAGGAACTGCATTTGCGTAGCCCTCCTGTGCATATAGGTTTACTATATCGGTAATGAAGAGGTGGCACATTCCACAGAAAAAGTTATATATGGATGGGGTAAAACAGATCGACGACAAAAACCGCGACTTGTTATTTCTCTTTAGTTATCTGACTCTGTTGAAGGAAATAAAAAACAGAGCGAACTCAGAACTGCCAAACGAGCGGGGACCTCAAACAGGGTCAAATAGATGAAGGTTCTGCCTGAAGGTTCGGTCTGAGAAGGCTTAGACGAGAGATGGGCAAAGTAATCAGAAAGGCCAAAAGGTTTTAAGGGTGGAACAGGGATCCGAAATAACGTCACGTTTCAATATCTGTCAAGGTAGTGATTATGAACTATAGTCCAACCAAAACTTCTTTTCTCGCATGAACTTAGTTTCAGGTAACGAGTTTCCATGGTTTCTATTGTCAAATTGTTGATTTGTCAATGAAAATAAAGGAAAACCATTTTTTCCAAAGGAAAATCTTGTCACAAATTTTCCACTTTCACCAGTTTTGTTGTTGCAAGGTCAACTTGCTAACGCAGCCATCACACGAGGCCCTTCAATCAGGGAATGTTGAATGTGGAGTGGATTTTTTATTTGAAAATCCTGTGAAATATTCGATTTGAAAATTGTGTGCAATTTTCAGATGGATATTGCGTGGAAAATTGTGATGAAAAATTGGTGTGGAATCTTGGCTCAGCCGAGGCTTGAACTTTTCAATCGAAATAGTATATTTTGTAACGAGTGCAAAAAAGTGTTTTTTGGCGAGTGATATAATCCCACGAGCTAAAAAACATTTTTTCACGAGTTACGAACAATATTTTTCATCACAATGTGGCGGAAATTGGACTTTTAGGCACGCGGCGCGTGCCGAAAAGTTCACTTTTCGTCACAGCGTGATGAAAATGAATGTTATCTAACCTTATAGCACGTGAGGTAGTAGTCAGTAGTGACACACCCTGTATATGTTAGACTTGTGTCAGGGATGCGAAATAACGTCACGTCGCGAAATCAGAAGCAGATGACGGTCATGTGACAGTCATTGTGACGTCATTTTTTTCGTATCAGAATTTCGGTCATAGTATCGACTGATATACCATCAACTAGTTAGATGTAATGTGACTGTCATAAATTTCTGTCACAAATTTTCCAATTTCATGAGTTTTCCATTGCAAGAGTTAACTTGTCAACGCAGCCATCGCCTGCGGGTTCTCAGCCAGGGAATGTTGAATGCGGAGAGAATTTTTTAGTTGAAAATCCCGTGAAATATTCACTTTGAAATTTGTGTGCAATTTTCAGCGGGATATTATGTGAAAAACTGTGATGAACAATTGGTGTGGAATTTTGGCGCGGTCGAGGCTCGAACCTTTTAATCGAAAATTGATGTTCTCTAAAATTATATTTATTCATTGACCTTAATTATTTGACCATTCACAGTGAGAGGCTCAGTCAATACACTTACGACTATTTTTTTTTCGTTGTTAAATCGAAATACGACTGGCACTCATGTTAACGCTTTGTCATTGTGGATCTACGGCGATCATCATGGGGAAATTTTCAACTTTCGAAGTAGTATCACCTGGGGTGCTACTAATTAGATGGAATGTGACGATCACATGGTAATACACGTTTTTGTCACGTGACGACAGATTGTCATCGTTCCTGTCGCATAACCGTCAGTGACGTGTCATGTCATTTTTTCGTATCCTTGATATATGTATATGTAGCATATAGAGATGTGAGTGACAAAAATGACCGTCAACGACCACGAGCATGACCGGTTATTACCGCGCCGAGAATCTAACCATATAGTCAGAAAAGAAATGAAGATTGGCCATAAGCATGAAATTACCAAATAACTTTTGACCGTCAATTTCCAGTAAACTTCTCGGAAATTTTTCTCGTATTTAGATTCCACTGAAATTTCAAGGCATTTCGTCATTGAAAATTCTGAATTTCGGGGAGAAATCAAGGAGAACTGTAAATTTTAGTTCAATCATTTCCTGAAAATTAATCAAAAATTGGAAAATTTTGATAACCGTATTCTTGAATTTTCAAATATTTGAAAATTCAGGATAATTTGGCACTTTAGGAATTTTGATGAATTTTCAGTGAAATCTGAAATTTAATTTTTTTTCTAACAGTGTATCATTGACAACAAGACGGGAAATTCTATTAAAGTTGTCCGATCGAATCCTTAAAAAATAACCCTAACAATGACCGAAATAAAAATCACGGTCCATTTGCAACTATATACACAATTTTGGATTATTTTGGCTCGTATTTGACGCACCTCAGAAACAGGTCATTTACGTCCGACCTGTCTGAAAGACAAAATAACGGTCATTCCACATCTCTAGTAGCATATACGTTAATTACATAATTTTTCATGGCTCGTATACACGATACGATAGACTGTACGCCAATGCAACATATATGTTTTCATATATACCTTTTCTGTGCACTTATTTCGATAATCATTGATTTTGTGGAGAAAATATAAAAAACATCTGTCTGAAGGAAACCATTTTCTATGAGAAAGATCTTTCGCTGAATTGATTCAAACTTCTCCCTTCCGAAGGTATTCACAAAATGATTTTGGTGGTCAAATCAGTCAAGCACGAAATAAATTTGCTTCATTAGCCATACCTTTGAAACTAATAGACAGACGACTTTTTTGTAGACGAGAAAATTCCCTAAAAACAGATTTTTTATTTTTTCCCCATGCAACACTTGCTATCGAGATAATTCAACATGACTCAGGCAGTTACACCTCTTCTTTACTGAAATGATTTGAAAATATTTAACCATTTTTTTAGTAGAGAGATAAGACAGTGCTACTTAAAACAGTGCTCGAGAGAACGTTTTTACACGAGTCCATGGTTGATGAGCGCGCTTTAAGGGTTAACAGGGTGCACTGATGTCTTGCGACTCATTTCGTTTTGTTGAATATGAGTAGAACGAAATATCTTGCATGCCAGTTAGAATGCTTTATTGATCCAGATGCATCGATAAATTGATAGAGAAATGTTAGAGTGAAGCAATCGCGGTACATTAATACTGACTGCACGATTTCGTTTCTCAGTGAGAAGCAAGCAATTTCATCAACCCCCTCTATTTATTATCCTCCAGTTATGATTTGAGAATTTCATGTACAAAACTGAGATTGATGATTTTTGTGCCTGTGCTGCTTTCTTATAATCATATGTTACATTTTTGTCTTGTTTTAATCTTAATTTTAGCAAAGTTGCTGAAAAAATTCAGTGCAAGAAATATATTGAAGATAATTGGTGCATCTAAGTTGTCAAATCGAAGTTTAAATATTAGTTTTTGAACTAAGGTTTTGAGTTTTTAAATTTCTTACCTCAGATCTTGTAATGGTAGAAAATCAACGGCGATTAAGGGCCTTAGACTTGGTAAACTGTAAGTCGCTACGTGACCGTTTGACACGTAACACATGAGACATACACTTTCTGGAATAAAAGATAAGAAAACAGATCAGTGACGAAGGGGTAGAATTGTTTAGGTCAGACGTGAGGAGTTTGGGAAAGAGTAATTCTCTGAGACAAAATGTCAAGAGATGTTTTTTGTAGTTGAGAAAATTTCCACACAATAGTCTCATGATAATATCTTCTAAATTTGCTCATTATGGAAATACAGGAGATAATTGGATTTAATTTTCTACAAAATGCAAAGGACGACTGAAAACCACTTGCCTGAGGTTTAGGAAGGTCAAGTGCATATGATTATCCTGACAATGTACAATTTCATAGACATTCATAATTATTCTTTTCCCTTATAATTCCGATTAATAGAATCCTCGCGGTAAGGAAACGTACAGGATTCAATTTTAGATATCATTCGGATAGTTTCCACTGCCTTTGGCAATCGACAAAATATCCACAAGCAATTCGTTCGGTGGAAATTCCTACCGAAAATTTTGTCGCCATTGGAAAAAAAGTTAGTAAATTTCGGAAAAAATTTTTTCCGAAAGTTTTTTAGTACAGTCAACTCATAACTACTCTATATTGGACTACAAATTCTTGAGAGTGGTTAGAGAGTTTTCCGAACTTCTCTGGAACAATGACAGGAGTATATGTCAGTTTAATCACTGAGAAGTTGAAGAGTATAAAAGTTGAAGGAAGTCGACTGTAAATAAGTTCATTGGCCCATTAGGTATAAAAAGTAATGAAATTGACACGATTGAGAGTATTCAAAATAATTTATTGACTACCTTTCAAAGGAAAAAGTTGATTCCTACAAAACCAAAATGTAACTTGCAAAGGATCTAAGCATGCAAACTCAGAGTTACAAATTTTCGATTTTCTAATTTTGAGTCGAAAAGCCCGGAAATGGCATGAACCATGAAAAAATTATATTTTTTAAAAAATGTCCTGAAATATAGCGATTCGAATTCACTCGAAATTCGTAAGAAAAGAAAAAATTGAAACATTTATATTTCACCGTTCATTTTCACACAAGGGTAACTTAAAAACTTAAAAGACCATATAACATGGATCATATATGTTTTTTTAATTTTACACAAAAAGGGAAAAATGTAAAAGTACTGTCTCTCATATTTATCTATTCCAATTCCATGGAATTGCATATTTATTTTAATCACTTACACTTAATTACTTATGACAGGAAAATTTTTAAAAAATTGAAAAAATTCAGAGATTTACAATTTAGAGAGAATAAAAACCACTGCGTCCAGTCGGCATTGGAACTCGGGTGTCACAGTTATGCGACGGGGATTCTCCCAACTGAGCTGCCATGAATAACGAAAATTCTCTCTTTCTACATTCGACTCATAACTCTTAATTTTATTATATAGTTTTATTAAATGCCTGACACTAAGAGAGAAAATTATTCTAAATATATTTTTTTAGAATTTTTTTTCTTATCTTCTTTCTGTGCAATCCTTATACCTTCATTTTTTGAAAACAAATTTAGGGTTCATTCGGAAGCCTACTATAAATGGAATTGGCCGAAATAAAAACAGATGAAAAAAAAATACGTAGGGAATAACAGTTATATGTAATCTGTCGAATGGCTTCTGTCACACTGCTCGTTTCACACTAGACTAATCCCAAAATGTATGTTTTAACTTCAATCCATGTAATTACAGGTGTTGAAACTGGGTCTCCGTACTGAATAAACAAGAGAATAAATATGATGAAAAAAAGTTGTTTTGACTATACCTTTCAAAGTTGTAATTTCTGCTTTAATAACAGCATGCGTCTCACTTAACTGCTGCCTGTAAACAATGTTTTGGGAGGGTAGTGCCACAACCTTCGCCTGCTTTTCAGATGTCAGCACAACAAATTGCTGATCCTCAAAGCCTTCACTACCAGCGACAGCTGGTGCATTCAGCAGCGGTGACATTCTACTGCTGTTCATTGACTTACTCTTGCTACTTTTACCGTCTACGCTATCGTCTTTCCATGATTCGAATGCATTTGGTATGAGTATACCGTTGCAGTCCAGGAAGGACATTGTTAGGATACAACCTTTCAGTTTGAATGATGCGCCATCTAATTTGCAGTAAAACAAACGACAGAATGTGAATCGAGTGAAGGATTTCTTCTTGTTTGTTGATTGTGGCAAAGAGAAAGAGAGAATGGGGCATAATGAACCGTCTCTGATTTGTTTTGCCTAATTCTGCCCTCTCTATAACAATCCATTATCTGTCGAATATTATTTAGATTGCTTTTTTTGTTCGATTTTTATCTCAAAACTTCAACTCGATGCCCCATCACTCAGAGACCCCCGAAAATTATGAATTTTTATTTTAAAAAAGTAAAAAAAATCTGTACATTTTGAAAGAACGTTTTTAATTAGTATTGAGGAATCAGTTCAATAGAAGAGATATGAATAATGCACTGAGAAAAACTTCAACGGTAATTTTAACTAAAAGGGAATTGTCAAAGAAATTATATTTACAGTAACAATAAACTTTGTAGATTAAACTAGGATTCACCGTTCGATTTACTATGTCAAATAGTGTTATCAACAGTATGATGTAATGTTCACTTTAATGTAATAGTTGAATCTACAATGTTTATTGTTACCGTAACTATTATTTTTTTGACAATTCTCTTGTAGTTAAAATTACCATTGAAATTTCTCTCAGTGTGGCGAGGAAAGACGGAATAATAAATCCCGAGTGGAAATTCACTCAGTTAGCTTGGGTCTAGATCAGTTTTCCGTCCAATACTGGTCAGGATTTATTGATTAGACTTCCATATCAGGATCTGATGAGACTCTGAAAAGAGTTTCGGGACCCAATGCGGCGGAGTGAATTGTAATTCTATTCTGATCAGTCCAATCTCGATAGATCCTTATCGGATCCAGTACTGCTCAGAAAAATCGGACCCTAGAATTGTGACCAGACATGGATCCAATCAAGCGTTACATTTCTGATCCAAAACTGATCAAAGCCAGTTTTTACTGGTCACTCTCTTATTCTTTTTTTTTTTTTTTTTTTGCTTATTTTATATCGCTTCGAGTCTGATGAGACTATATGGCGATTGATCAAGACTTTTTAAAAATGGTTAGATCTCACCATTCTACCCGGCCAGGAATCGAACCTGGAACCTATCCGTTGTGAGGCAACGGCCTTAACCACTACGCCAGGCCACCGGTAAACTTATTCTATCTTGATTTGAATTTCCACTCGGGATCCTTTGACACAGGGCAACCAGACGATTTTGTAGAATTTTAAAGAATTTGTTGATCACACTATTACGATGGATTACTAATCACTTACGGCAATCTCCTCCATTAATAATTGTACTGGCGATCAGCTGTCACTTTTGTAAGGGAATTGAAAACATAAGAAAATCGCTCTTTCTTCCTTTTTTGCGCATAGACAAAAGTGACACAAAAAAGGGAGCACAGAAAAAGGAAGAAAGAGCGATTTTCCTGTTTTCAATTTCGGTAAAAGTGACAGCTGATCTCCAGTACAATTAGCAATGGAGGAGATTGCCGTAAGCGATTAGTAATTCATCGTAAAAGTGTGATCAAAAAATTCTTAAAAATGTTACAAATTTTTTCAAATAGCTTTCTTTCGTACAACCGTCTTATGGTGGTGTGACAAAGGATTTATTATTTCGGCTTTCTTCCCCTATGGTGGCGACTGACAGGTCACCATTTGCCATGGTAATCCTATCGTAAAAAGGAGAAAGGAAATCGATCTCGAAATATCTCGAAAATCTCGAATAAGCGTAAGCGTAAGACTGAAACCGAAGCGCCACTACGTGAGGAGATGAGAAGGCGCGTGTGTAGCAGGCGCGGCCGATCTCGTAGTATATAAAGTCATCAGGCAATAAAAGTATTATAATCACATTCGTTAAATAATACTTTCATCGCCATGTGACATATATTTTTTCGTATCACGGGACCTGAAAATTGACGGGCGCCACGAAATTGGCGTTTTGCAGGCCCCTCGACACGAAAATTAATATACACACCTCGCCATGGAAAACATATCACCCTCCCCCACGTGCTTGCCATCCTCGCCTTCGACTCGGAAGGCAATCTTGCACGTGGGGGACGGTGATCTGTTTTCCAAGGTTTGAGCATGTAATGTATTACATGTCATTGGGCCCGAACAGCGCGATTTAACCGAGCGAAGCGAGTGATAATCAAAAGAAAATATATTGGTTTTTCTTCATTATTGAAAAAAAACGTTTTGAAATTTTCAAGATTGAAAAATCGATTTTTAAAATTTATTTCTGATTTTCCTTCCCTACATTTTCCGCATTTCCTGTTTCTATGAATGGAATACGATCAACGAAATTAAAAATGTTAATCTCCTTTCATTTTTTAAGAAGAAAAAAACAATTTCGAAAAATTTCGAAAAGAGATGGAAAAATAGATTTTTTCATTTTATTGATATTGATTGATGATGATCGATCTCTCTTTGCAATTTCCTTCTTCGGTTCCATTGAAATCAGATCAAAGGAATGTAAAATGTTCATATTCGTTCACACTTTCAGATCATTGGTATTAATTAATTTAAAGAAAAACAAAGAAATGAAAAATTTTAGGTATGATTATCGAAAATTGTTTGTCGATCTGTATTCTCACGTGATGCATGGGGAATTTCTCTTCATTCGATGTGATAACTTGTGAATTACGGAAGAAAAATATATATAATAACAATAAGAATGAATAAAATTAAATTAATCCAATTGTGAAGACCGAAATGGAAAGAAAACTAGTGGATTGGGCTGTTGGTCGTTCGCTCCCATTGCGGGTGGGTTGGTAGCGGATGTATTCATGTGAGTCTGACCCGTCGGACGGTCGCACCAACAACTTCCCGATATTATTATTCCTCCCATTTTGACTAAAAGAATCCTTTTCAACTCTCAATACCCTGTTTATTTATTCATGAGAAACCCTCGTCTGAGCGATTTTCAAACTTTTCTCCAGGAAATTTTGGAAAAATCACTGGAAAAACCACTGGAATTTCAGCAAATCCTGGAGAAATCACTGGAGTGATTGGCTCTAATGATATCCTGATGTTGACAATCCCAATCACATCATTTATACAGGAGAAATACTTATCTTAGCCATTTTCAAACTTTTCTCCAGGAAATTTTGGAAGAACCACTGGAGCGAATCACTCCAAAATCTAATCAGGTCTAAGTTACATGAAGACCTTTCGATTGCGTCATCCATCATCTTGATCGCGCAATTCATTCGGGAGAAATCGTTAACGAAAATTCCGTAACATACAGACCTACATACACACACACACACAGAGACATGTTGTTTAGAAGTGTTCAGAAGTGTTTTAGACACCGAGAAACGTGGAGAAATCGCAAAAAACTAATGATTCATTTTCAGGGTGATTACAATAACTACCCGATAGATCGGGAAGTTAATAAAAAAATAACATGGTATTAGTTAAGAACGTTCTTTCAAAATGTTCAGAATTTTTTTACTTTGTTTTTTAATCTAAATTTAGAATTTTCAAGTGTCCCTAAGTGAGGAGGCATCGAGTTAAAATTTCGAGATAAAAATCGAACAAATGAATCAATTTAGGCAGATAATAGAGCCGAACCATAGACCAATTGGGCGGGAGATGTTATTGGACTGTGCTGAAAATGTTTCAAAGATTGGCGTCGCCCTGGCGGGTAGGAAGAAAGTAACTGAATCAAATTTCATTTTTGCAGAATCTCGACAATGTTTATAGTCAGATTAGCCTTTTCAGGCTTTGAACAACACCGACGTCGGTGGCCGAGTGGATTAGACGCAAGTCTAGTGTGCGAAAGGTTGTGAGTTCGATTCCCCGTGGAACCGAATTTTTCAACGGAAGGTTCCGGCGAGCGGGAGGTTGCTAATAGAGGAACCGCCTGTACCGGCATGGGTTTTCTGTGGTTTCCCCATGCTACTTCTATGTTCTATAGAAGTGCGAATGCGGTACAGTGTAGAATCCACAGCCGCATGCATAGGGTTGGATAGAGTGCCGAATGGGACCCGAAAAAGGGACTCCGAGGCCGTAAAAAAAAAAAAGGCTTTGAACAACTTGAGCAACTTCTGATATATTATTTTTATTATTTACTTCAAAATTATCTCCACCAAATCAAGCACAAAGAGGACCTAAAAATGCATTAAAAACTTAGTTTCATTTGAATGCGAAATGTCATTAATTCAATTTATTCCTACAACATTTATAATTAATAATTCAATGGACCGGATCTCCCGCAGTCCGAGGAAATTGAGTTATCTTGGAAATTGGTGGCGCGCAGGAATCACCATAAGCCCCTATATGAGGTTCTCTATGTAATTATCTCTCGTGAGTTTACACTGTCGTCAATTCAATCAAAGTGGGTAATATGAGGTACATGTGCCCTTGAGGGTTGAGTCAACCGAGCAATTTCATCTTGATGACGAAAAATTATTGAACATGCAAATCTCTCATTTCCCGAGTTACTAATTAAAGTTACCTCAAAGAAATAGCTTTGAAGAAACTTTGTAGATAGTTCGTTCTTTCAAAAACTTCTCGTGATATTATTAATCCTACGTAGAGAGAAATAATCCTCAACAGTATTGTTAATATTCAGCCAAGTGAAACGCAATACTCACTGCAGGTAGAAATAGTTACAGGTTGAACGTTACGCTCCTCGGGTGTCGGTGAATTGAATACAATAGTTTGTATTGAGCCCAAAGACGTACCAATCCACAGAGTCGGGAGAGGACAAGTATCTGAAACGAGTGCAACAGAAAGGGGTGAGTTTTGAGTGTCATTCAAATGAAACACGAGAGAGCAAGGGCAAAATGAACCTTTTTGGAGGATATCCAAGTGGGACACTCTCTGCAATTAAATGGATTTCAGAAGAAAAATGATGTCTATTGGGATCTTGATAGTGTAAAAAACGACGAGAAATGAATCGTATGAGGTGTAATAAGGTCAGTTAGATATAGTTGTGTTGAATATATGCAGTTGCATAGATATTCATTATTGCTCTCTGGAATTTGGCATTGCTGGTGAGAATGTTTCCATATAAATGTTCAACTCACAATTTTCATGAAATTTTGATATGGTTAGACTCAATTTTTTAATTGCACGCTAATCAATCGGTTTATGAGACTATTTCATTCATATCATTGACAATTATGAAATAAATCTTTAGAAATATTGATACATGATATTAGTTCTTTTCATAAAATGAATAATTGTTTCTTTGTGACCAGATACATAGTTATTTTTGAGTATTTAGTGGTATAAAGATCTGGACGCAGTCGAGGGCTTGTGCAACGATCTTAAGAGGTTCCGCATCGACCTTGTCTTTTTCTCATTTAATTAACAGGTGAAGAAAATCCCTTTCTTTACCACTTACTTACAATAACTTTGCATTTGTAGGGAGTTACCGTCTGAAAATTGAACATGTTACACCTCTGTAGTGACTAAAATTTTTGACGTCAAGAATATTTTATTCCAATATATAATAAAATTTTAGAACATTTGAAATTGTTTTTTTTTTCAACATGCATGGAATTGACTGGAACCATTATATTCTACAATTATTTCTCAATCATTTTAGTGTTCTAAACGATGTGTGGAATTTTTCCTCATTCAAAATGCTATCTTTTGCTGGCTTATTAGTTATTATTCTGTTTCAATTTTTAGCGCTCACTCAATTATTACCCGAGAATCATGCAATCTCGGCATTTTAACATGTAAATTTCCAACTGTTTTCACGTTTAAAAAATTTTTGCATTCTTTTTTCGTCAATTTGAGACTTTTTTAGCAAAGAAATGATATCAAAAAGACGCGCTCACATTAGGATGAGATGAAGCAGAACATCGGAAAAAAGGTTGAAACTGAAAAACTTGTATTCCTAATATATTTATTACATAAGAGCAATTCACTTTAAAACTGATTTCACGATGTTTCGGAAATTTATAGTCTCTCAACGAACATTTATTGACAACTATTGATACTAGGGGGAGTTGTCGTTTTTAGAAAAGTTCAAAAGAAAGTGATTGCAGTTTCGGTGAAGAAATTGATGTGATTTTTCTTAATTGTCACCAATATGTCATTCGAATTTGGAGCTCGAATTCTGCTTTGACGGGAGCAATAAACATGAAAACCTTCAAATTATAAAGCTGTAACATGCTCAAATTTCAGACGCCAACTTCTTACGAATGCAAAGTTATTGCAAGTGGTAAAAGAAATCAATTTTTTCACGTGTTAATTAAATGAGAAAAAGACATGGTTGATGCGGAACCTCTTAGGATTGTCGCACCGGCCCTAGGTTGCGGCCAGCTCTTTATGCCACTAAATACTCGAAAATAAACATGTATAAGGTCAAAAAGTAAAATTGTACATTTCGTGAAAAGGTCTACATTAAATTCTAACAAATGAATGAAGCTCAACAGCGTCAATATCCGAGAAAAATTTTGTTTTGAAAGAAAAGGTTTTAAAAAGAATTATCAAAAAAGTGCGATCTTCGAAAGGAGTTGTAAATACCATGCAACTGTCATATTTTTTAGTATAATCATATCCAACTGATCTAAATAAAATCCAAGCGAGGAGATTATCATGGTTGTCTATCCAAGAATGCTCTAGAACTTTCTGCCACCTCGAATCCATTCAATTGCAACGGATTGTCAATACACACAGGGAAAAAAATCAACATCGCTAGGAGTTCCCATCGAATTTTCATCGGAATTCTCATAAATTCTAGAGAAAACTTCAATTTCTGCCGATCTCTGTTGAAGGAATTCTAATAGACAAAATCGCAATAGAAAAAGTTGTATTGAAGAATCCACAGCTATTGATTTTTCGCTATGAAATACCTATTAGAAAGTCTAGTAACTTTGATGCTAGAACCAATAAATGGATTTTCAATCATTTTTTTTCTGACATAGTTTTGAAACGAAGAAAATTAAATTTCTTACTCAACTAAGACATCTTCTTGTTTAGCTAGAATTTTTTTTTTCATTAAGGATATCCAATTACTTTGGCTATTTTTTCTTCACTGAAATGCTTTTATACTTTTGTACTCGAACATCAGAGCGTTCATTTTAGCCCCATTTGACTCCAAGTTTGCGGACATTTTAGAATTATTTTATTATTCAAATTTTGTAGGTCTCAATTTTAATTTCGATATTGAACCGTTAGAAAACATTTTAAAAATCTGAATAAGATAGAAAGTTTACTTTTGGAGGAAAGTCATTCATACTCAGAATTTTACCGGAAATCGATTTCATGGCTAAAGAAATAAGGCTTCCGAAAGTTTAAGTAATTTCCATTATTTATATATAAACAACGAATGTTCAAAAAAAAATAATTCTATGCAAAATGGAATTATAATGACGCTGAGTATTCATGACTCTTTAAAATTTTTCTCACAAAATTTAATTGACAATTTTGATTATTGAAAATGGTTGAATCTATAGTGTTAGTCCATACGCTAGCCCTGTTTCTGTATGCACTACGAAAAAAATGAAATTTTATTATTGGAATTTACGTTTTCGATGGTGCTGAATTCGAATCTGAAGTCAGTTTTTGCAAGTTGTGGTCGGGTCTATTTGTTTATAACAATTTAATTGTTTAAACGATCATATCACGGGAACGGTTGCAGATAAGGAAAAAAGTTTCAAACAAAAGATGTTCAACATATAAAACTACACATTTTGTGTTTTTTAACTTTTTCCCCTAACTGCGATAGGTAAAGAGTTATCGGGGGTGGTAGCGAAGCGAGAGGCGCATTAGCACTTGCGCGAGGTATTGGCGCGCGCCAATGCGATTATCAGCGAACTCGATCGAGATAGAGGAAAATCTTTGGAACAAAACATGTTCGCCATCAAATTTTGCAGATAATTAGACTTTTGAGATTTTTTCCTAAACTTGACCGTTACTGAGATACCAACGCTCTTGTACTGCATGACGGGGGGAAATTACCAATAACGTTTTTGTTTATGCCAGTTTGGCGAGTAAACGGTTCGAGATACGAGCCGTTTACTCGTTAAATTTCCTCCATAAAAAACAAATAGATTCGATTTTTTGGCTTTTTGTCATATCTCCATTATTTGCAGAAATATAGCTCGTTAAGTGGGAGTGCCGGTGGCCCATGCACGTATCGCAGGCGCCAATGGCCACGTGAGGCGCTGTTTAAGAGAAAAAGGATCAACAATTGAATAAAATTTATTTAACTGGATTTTTACATCGCTTGTGTGTGTGGCAAGACCAATATGCCCCACATGGCACCTTGTACTTGACACAAATACACGTTTGACGTGAACAATTAGCACAATTGGTACAATTTGGTATCAAAATTTCACTCGGAGGATAAATGTCTGCTCCTCGTCTAGGCAGCAGTCGCTCTTCCTCCAAAGTGTACCCGTATCTTTCTATATCTAATTCGAATAAACCGTAGTTTTCAAAGAAATTCAGTCTCATTGGCGCCTGTGATACGCGCATGGACCGCCGGCGCTCCCACTTAATGGGCTATATCTCTGCAAATAATGGAGATATGACAAAAAGCCAAAAAATCGAATCTATTTGTTTTTTATGGGAGAAAAAATTGAATGTGTCACCTTTTTGCGTATCTCGAACCGTTTACTCGCCAAATTGGGATAAACAAAAACGTTATTGGTAATTTGCACCGTCATGCAGTACAAGAGCGTTGATATCTCAGTAACGGTCAAGTTTAGGAAAAAATTTCAAAAGTCTAATTATCTGCAAAATTTGATGGCGAACATGTTTTGTTTCAAAGATTTTTCTCTATCTCGATCGAGTTCTCTGATAAACGCGCCAACACCTCGCGCAAGTGCTAATGCGCCTCTCGCTTTGCTACCACCCCCGATAACTCTTTATCTATGATAGTTAGGGGAAAAAGTTAAAAAACACAAAATGTGTAGTTTTATATGTTGAACATCTTTTGTTTGAAACTTTTTTCCCTATCTGTTGATACTCGTGGAACGATAGAGTTAATTAATCCAGTGATGCGAGGAAAATAAAGGGAAAACTAAATAACCTGAGTCACAAGCAATACGATGCGAAATGTATTAAGTATATTTAACGACTTACTGAATTACAGGAAAGTCGGCCCGAGCCTACTGAGTATGAGCGTGTTTGTGATTACGTGAGAGGATTAAATTGTATATGTATTTGTGTCTGTATAATTGACATTGGATTATATTCTCAACACTATTTGCAACCGTTCCCGTGATATGATCGTTTAAACAATTAAATTGTTATAGACAAATAGACCCGACCACAACTTGCAAAAACTGACTTCAGATCCGGATTCAGCACCATCAAAAACATAAATTCCAATAATAAAATTTCATTTTTTTCGTAGTACATACAGAAACAGGGCTAGCGTATGGACTATGTGGTCTGTACCAAACTGTAAAAGATACTGGGATATCATTAAGGAATATTAATCACCACCAAAGTTTGTATCATCTGAAAAATGTGCTGCATGATCTTTCTGGAGTGACGTGAAAAAAATTGCCCTTCTGTAAGTGATAGAATCAATGTGTAGTCAGACATTTCGAAAATCACACAAATTGAAAGACATGGTAAGTTGTGCAAAAATTGTTATTCATTTTCGAACGACTTTTCTTTTACATCTTTCCATTTCGAGAATTTTCAAAAAGTATTCGACTATCAATTTACTCCATCATTAAACTAGTGGTGCATTAATTTTTTTAAATGGTCATTCCATTTACCAGAACTACTTTCACCGATACTTTCACCAATACTATTAACTTTGCTAGTGAGTAATATTTCCCAACGAAGAAAAAACTCTAGCTAGGCAAAACGATGTCTTAGATAGATGTACAGTAGAGCTACGGGACACCCCGAAAAAGCGCTTCTAAATTGACTGATTGACCACTCGCGTTCTAATGTGGAATGCTTTTTTTGAACAATGACATATGATCACGGAACATCAAGTAAACAATTTCCAATCAATTTAGGGAATTGCAACTATTTATTATCAACTATTTAATTGTTCAAATCACCCTAGCACCCAAACTACAAGACTTACGAGAATTTTCGGATCACGAATCATGTAGAATTTGTCAATTTTACATATCTCCTTTAGATTTCGAGATATGAGCAAGGAAAGAGTTGCGTGATCCAACACAGCGCTCTCAAGCCCACCGCACGCCGCAAGCAGAGAGTGCTATGTCGGGTCGCGTAACTAGTTTATTGCTCATATCCCGGAATCTACGATACGTAAAATTGAAAACACAAAAATTATTCCTTATTAAATTCTAAATGATTCATGATTTGAAAAATTTCGTCTATTCTTCATAGTTTGGGTGATAGGGCGATTTGAACAATTTAATTGTTAATAATAAATCATACCAATGCCGAAGATTAATTGAAAATTGTTTACTTGACGTTCAGTGATCATATTTTATTGTTTAAAGCCAGAATTGCCCTTTAGAACGCGAGTGGTCGGTACATGCCTGAAAATCGAGGGTGTCCCGCAGCTGTACAGTAGAAGCTCGCTAGTTACACGCACGTTAGTTGCTCGTTTTCTCCTAATCTCCTTGAACGCACGAGCGCTGCCCCCCATTCTCGGCCACCTTATCGCTTTCTTTTGTCCTCCGTACGTAAACACAGAGGTCCAAATAATTTTATTCGAAAATAAAACTATTCATTCCCTCTCATTTCTGTGAGAACTTGGGTCAGCATTAGTTGAGGTGTGGGGGCTGGTGGAAAATTGCTCATTTCTTCGAAATGCTACCCCTACAGGCCTACAGCCCTTTCGATGAGCAACTAGCGAGAGTCTACTGTATCAATTCAAGCCCCTCATTCCAAAACTCCATGCCGAAGTTAGCTAGGCACCTTAGAAAATCGCCTGAAGAATTACATGATTTTTAACAGAAGTTTGCAAAGAGTAAATAAATTTTCTCATGGAATTCTGATGAATTTTGAGAGAAGTTCCAATAAACTTTCAATGGAAGGCCAATTGAAGTCCCTAGCGAGTGTCCAGGGTATTTTTTGGATTTTTCCATACGTATAATTCTAAATCCATTAAGCAGAATTCAGAAAACTGGAGCTTGTTGTTTGAAGTTATTTTTCGAAAAAAAATTGATGCTTCAAAAATGTATTCCTCTAGGCCGGTCATTTTGAGGTATTACAACCATGTTACATTGTAGGATATTGATAACATTCGAAGTTATTCTCAATTTCGTTACCCAAGTTAATCCGGAAATCGCCTGTAAATAATTCAATGGGAGGATTTCAACTTTGAAGCAACAATTTTATTCTCCAATGATAAAATTACACCATTAGGTTTGCAAAGTATTTTCTGACGAATGTGAATTGATAATTCGATCCGAAGGTAAGGCATATAACCACATTTGTCAAAAAATATTTAACGTCTCTTATGTATAAATTACATTGTTGCACAAGTGCGATTGCAGACCTCACACTCGTCAAATACGTGATTTATACCATTTTTGCGTTACGTACTATATTTGACAAAAATATAGGTTCTTCTGGATATAGATAAAAAATATGAAATGGCTTTTTTACTCTATTCTAGGATAAAAACATGAAAAAATATTGTACCACTCTTCTTGGTATAGGAATCGGCGAATGTAAGGCAGCTGATGGTTTCAGTTGAAATATTCTCGAGTGAGGACATACTCGAACTCCTTGATCGTTGGAACGAACTGTCGAATTTGTCTGTTCGGCCAGCATTCCGGAAAATAAAGTCCAACATTAAAAACACGCCTGATGGTTTTTTGTATTTCGTCTACAAAAGAGGGCATGCGACAGAAAATATTGTAGATGCACATACAAAAGAAAAAAAAGAACGAAAAGAATAAATGTCAAAAAATACAATAAAATGAAATATTCTTTGAAAACAACATCGATAGCAGTAATAATGTGTTTATGATATTTTTCTCTTTGTTTTCATCGTTCTGTTTTCCATTTTTTTACTCCACTCACATTCATTCATTTGAGGTGTTATTGTGTGAATATATCTCAAATCGCTGACTGTTTTGTTCTCCATATAGATTTTTTTCAATTTGGGCGTAGTTATTTGTTTGTAGAAGAGAATTCTCGATTTCGTTGTGATAACTATTTCGTCTCCCTGTAGAAACTATTTTTGGAGTCTAATCAAAAGTGCTTTATTCTGTCCTGGAGATGGGGAATCACTCACTAGATTATCTGGCTCTGTTTTCGAACGTGCGCATGCTTGTTCTTTCTCATTTTCAATAGTTATTCATATTTAATATTCAATTAATAAATCGAATGTAACAATTTTTCTCTCTTACTTTCAATTGTTCATCAATTCTTTGTTCCTAGTGCCAAAAATAAATAGTCATTGAATAGGTAGTCGACAAACTCTGATATTCAGGAATAATATTGCTGACTGTTGAACTTAAATGTCAAACGGAGAATTGTGTGAGTGTGGCTGCAGATCCGATAGAGATAGCAAAAATGTCTTTTCACAAATGAAATTCAACGAAACAAAAATAATAAAAAAACGAGAAAATAAATTCGCAGAGCTGAGAGAGAAATGATCGAAGAGCGTTTGATCAGTGTTTCTGTGTATGTTCAACAACTTGTGAACATCCTTGATAAATTGTACACCTCCTGCTATGATAATTCTTGTCGAATAGTGTGCAGTATCCATAAAACGAATGCCACAGAGATAAATCTTGTGCACTTGGTGAAGTCAGTAAGACACAGCCAGAAATAATGCAATGAAGAAGGAGAAGAAGAAGAAGAGCTTTGGTGCTCCACACGGACGAAGACATCGTCTACAATTATAGCGTCATGTCACAAAGAAAACACCGAGGAAGAAGAAACCTTAGAAATAAATAAAATAGACTGAGATAAAAGAAGAAATCTCGAAAGTAACAATCTTTGCCACTCAGCTTTTTTCCAGTTTAAAAATCAAACTAAAGCGACAAATTTTCTCTTTATTATCTGGAGAAATCAGTCATGAAGTGGTAAAACTTTCTTACGGATTATTTTGCACTCATCTTCGGAATGACAAAGTTGAAAGAAATTCATCAAGGGATTAGTTCTCTCTTGATGAAGTCTCGTAAACCTCTTTATTCCTAATATCTTCACCAAATAATCAGCATGTGAAAGATTAGAGCAAAACTAATCATTTTTTTATTCTCAATAACTCCTGGAGAACCTGGCGAAGTATTATTAAGTTCGCTTCCCAATCTCCTTCTACCACTCCACAACAGAAATAAAATTGAAGGAGAAATAGAGCGAGATAGACAGAAGTGCTCTAAAACGATTGCGATCAATAATTTCATTGTTGTAAGATAAATAATGAAATTGCAGATGTTTATTTTTTTTCAGATTTGTTAATTTTGTTGGAAATACTACCAAAGCTGCTATACTGTCTGACGCTGGTGAGGATGGACTGGGAGGTCAATGAGGCCTGGGTTGTGGTTGCAGTGTTGTTTCGATAATCGTAACCACCTGATTGCTGATTATATGCTGTATATCCAGCAGGCGTACCATCCGTCTCGTAGTTGCTCACTGATGTACTCAAACATTTTCGTAATTTTCTAATATCATGCTGTTTATAACGTGCATTATCGATTGCTGTTTTACGGAGTGTACTTATACATCCGTCATCCTCACTTTGTGTTATTGTACGATTACCAGAGGCAATACGGACTGGTGTGATATTAATAACAACACCACTACCACTACCATCATCGCGACAGTGACCTGCACCGTGGCCAACGTTAACAACAGCATTACTACCACCTTCATTACTATCACCATCATCACATCTTTCACCACCACCCACCGAACTTCTTCCGGTTGTTGGCGATAAGCACATCCCGTTCATCTATAAATCAGTTTTCAATCATTTCAATTTTTATGAGAGAAGGGATTTATGGGCGGTTGTTTTTTTTCCTACTCGGCGGATAAGAGTACAAGGTGATGTCGGCAAGGTGGTTGTAAATTTGATACAGTTTTATTTCGCGATCATATTGTAATGGCTGGAAAGCGACGACGAATGAGGATGGCGATGAAGAAGACGGAGTTGAATGACCCATCTTCAATCGTCACTAACTCGAAATTATTAGAGTCAAATTTGATACATTTTTTGTAATTTGCCGGAAGTTTTTTTTCAAGCATCGAGAACAAACCTAATTTATTCACATTGTAGTATTTCATTCAGAGGTACTGATGATTCGAAGAGATCCCTTTTCTCCCACTCTCTACAAATCATCTGATTTTACCATCATGATGAACATTTTCTAATGGTACTCATCAGATTTATAACCAAAATATCGACGTCATCCTGTTATGAATGTCCGTATCCAAGTAATAAGTCGTAAAAAGCTGATTTGCGCCACTTTGTTAATTTGTTAAATTCTCACGTTACGGAATGATTCCAAAGTAAAATATCAAAGACTTTTTGAAATCACCCAATCGCGAGATAATGCGACCATTAACAATAATGTTCTGAGTCATATACAACTTATTACATCTCATTGCTTTAATAGAACATTCGTTTTGGGTTTTTATTTATTTTCACTGCAATTGCAGTAATTGGATGGGGAGTACTAGATCAACTTCCTGAACAATTAATCAACGTGCTGCTTCGCTATAACGCATATTGCCTCAAATTTACCATAAATCATTCTTAGACTTTCGAGTTACGATTTTGCCATTTTTCGGGGTACAAATATTCTAACTGCAACGCTCTCACAGTTGTTTGATCATACTTAATGATAATGTAGAGTCTTTCATAGCAGTCAGTCAATGGTTCAATAAATAACTCCATTAGTTTAATCATTTCGTCCTGTTTTCGCCGATTGTCGCATGAAATCGATCAAGCTCAGCAGTTAACAGATACCAATGAAGCCTTGGTTTACGATACCAATGATTGAACAGAGAACAATGCGTACAAAGCGGCAATTCTGCACTTGTTTAGAATTAATTAGTAGAATGCATACTGTTGAGAAAATAAAAAATTCATCACCATTATCATCACGTTATTATTAGTAATGCTAATTACGTGCAGTAAAAATTAAATCAATTGTTTTCATGACGAAGCATTGAAGCGACAGTATTTATTTTTGCCACCGAGAGAAAGGTTTTTCTTTTTTTTTCATGTCTAAATTACTTTTAGTTTCAATTATTTCTTTCTTGTGGAAAACACAAAGGTGATTAGCGATGAAAATTTGAAAGACTATTTTCCTCAATAGTACGATACATGGACTGTGGTTCATTTCTAAAATTTGTACTCAATTTTTCTACTCTACAGCAAATAAGGGATTAACTACGGACAACTGTAATTGTGAGGTTTTTCTACGCAAAAAATAGTAAGTACAAGTATTACATTCAATTAATTAATCAATTAACACAATTAAATGAAAGGAATAAACAGATAAAATGGTTATCGAGAAAACATGTAACAAAATACCCTGAGAATTACTCGTGAATACCAAAATATTATTTCAAATAAAGATGATTTTTTATATTTTTTGCTCAAATTGCTACATTTTTTTGTACTTTTCTCTCGGTTGATGAAACAAATGACGGTGAAACCGTAATTTTACCTGAATCAAACTTGCCGTCAGGGTAGACCGCAAAATTGATATGAACCTGTAAAAATCATTCAACGTAACACATATTTCTAAAGAAAATTCTCATACTCTTCAGGTGAATATTCAACTTCGACATGTTTTGAGTCCTTCAAAAATTATGTAATCAATTCAATCAATTTAATACACAATTATGATTCAATAGTATCAATAGAGGAATCATGAAATTCTGAAAATCAACCTTTTTCCTAGTCTGCGATTACTCATTGATGAGCGGTTTTAGGACAAATTATTAGAAGAAATTTTCCTCATCTTCAAAAAAGCTCTTCCCACATATGCTCGTAAAGCCACTCTTTAATGAATGGATGCAAAAATAATGAAATTTCATGTTCAACTCTGAAAATTTCACAATTCACCTATTGATTTCAAATAACGTTCTTGCTTGGGTTGGGAAAAATAGGGGTAAGAGAAAGCATAAATAGCTTTTGCAACTGTCAACGTCCATTACTAAAGAAATGAGAAAAAATTATAATATTGATTGGAAATAAATTGCCCTTGAATTAATTATTCCATCGAAGCATTTTGAACATGCAAGTTGTCAATATCAAGCCATCATCTACTGCTTTCTAAAGTGTTACCTAGAAATCAAAATATTGTTCTATATTCTCCCTCAAAGGCAGATTGCTAGACTTCCTCCTCTTGGCAAAACTATTGGACTAAAAATCACTGCAAACCCCTAAATGACATTTCAATTTATTCCTTGGTCTCTATTGTGGTTTCAAAGGTTGATTGATTAGTTACTGGGGTGGGCATTTCAATCAACACAGAAGAAGTCTTCTATATCCATTGAGGACTAATTAGAATGGGTGACAGTGTTCACCTTTACAAGACAATCGTTGTCAGGAGATCCCTCCGATATCCTTGACATTCACAGGAATAATTGTTGAAATAAGTCATTTAGGCATGATGCTTCCGCATCGATACAACTATAAGGCTCTCTAATAACACCAGTAGGCACCCTTCAAACACTGGCTCCCTATGTCTCTACGTCTATCATATTTACATTAAGACAAAACACAACTAAACTGTTGACATGTCTGCACTCTTCTATATCATTTCTTCCTAATTACAATGATAAAAAAAAACATCAATGCTTGTGTCGGATACAAAATTCGAACAAATCACATCTTTATCATTGTTTCATTCAACTTTTGTC